GGGAAGAAAAAAATCAAGTTAACTATTAAGACTGAAATTTTCTGTTAACACTGGGACTTTTTTCCTAAAACATAATTTTAAAATACAAAGTAATTATGTAAAAAGTTTAACAAATGTTAAAATGTTCTAATAACATCTATTCATAAGCCTCACACAAAAATGGGGAGGATTTTATTACTTATGAGTAAGCTGAACCACAAACTCAGGACTTGAAAAGGTCAGTTTTTGATAAATTGTGAGGTTTCAAATAATTGACACTTAATTTGCTGGGGTCGTTTAAAAATTCTCTTAGTTAGTCATTCTAATTATTTTTTTCCTCCTCATATGCACCGTTTCAGTGTTAATCATACCCATATGTGATTCTAAATGGCCAAACAGATTCTGCGAGTTACGGAAAGGATTTGTTTTCTGTGCTGGTAGACTTAAGCTTTTATTCCATGTACTTTCAACTTCAGGCATCCTCTCCTTCTTGCTAACAGTCTAAAGTGTAATACAGATTGTGGAATTTGGCTTGAATATAGTCTTATTCACATGAATTAGTAGGTCTTGGGAAGTTTCATTAGCAGGATTTCTGTTCTGGTCTGCATTAGCTTCTGCTTTCTGGTTCTCTCAAGGGAAGTAACCACTCCAAAAATAACTCATTACTTCGTTTTTGAGTTGTGAAAGCTTAGAATCAGGAAAATAAGTCTGTATAAGACTGACATGATCTTATGTCAGTCTGTATTGTCCTAAAACTTTCAGTCTGCTCCCCAAAAGTTAAAATATTAGTTTTCTCAGAGAGTATATTGCATCCGTTTTAAACTGCAAATGATATGTAACAGCATAGTGATAACTCTGAATGCAGTGCTCCAAGTACTATCTTCTGTATTAAAGATAGCTTATTTCTCCATTATATGATTTTCCTGCCAAGAGTTGTAAACAATGCTGCGTTCATAATTGAATCTAATATCTTTGTATCTAACATTCTTTGGTTTTGTGCATTCCAGGTTCGACAGAATAGTCCTTCTCCTACTTCATTAGCTTTTGGGGACCACCCTATCACGCAACCAAAGCAGTTATCTTTTAAAATTACTCAGGTAACTACTTTTGAGTAGAGCTATCCTGTATCACTTTCGACTGTAGCAAAAACTGATAGGTATGTTTATTTCTGTCTTTCAACTTCTAAGCTCTTAAAAGGCTTTCAAAAGCTTTGCCTTTTACAGTCTGCCAAAGCATTTTTCTGTTAAGTTCAGCATCTCATAATTTAAATCTCTGGTTAGTTTTGTATTCTGTGTTGCTCTAATTCCAATGTTGCACTGTGAGTAGTTAGCTGATCATGTTGTCAGTAGACTTTTACTTGGCATTTTAGCTGTTGTGTTGTCCTAGAAGCAGAGGCTGCTCTTTCAGGTGATATTTGAAGTGGCAGCTGCTGTTGTCATATTGCATTTAAAATATGATATTGAATAAGAAAAATGAGATGGTGATCAAAATTATCAAGATATGGTTTTGTCATGACTTTTAAAAGCTGAAAGCAACTGTTTTATCCTCTCTGCCATTTCTGTCTGTTCTATCTTCCACAAATTAAACAGAACAAGGCTACTTCATCTGTTGAACCAATACAGAGAATTTAAACTAATTAGCTGATGTTTACTTCCTTGCCCCATTTTATATGCTTTTTTGTGAACAATAACTTTTCAGTTAGTGATGAAGCTTTTTAACACTGTCAGTGGTTTGTCCCAACTGTTCAGTTGTCCGCATAAAGAGGAAAAGCAGTTTTGAGTAAGAATCTTCCATGTCACTTCAAAACACATGAAAATAAGATAGTCTTGTTGAATGTTTTAATGTAACTTAGTTCTCTACCCAACATGAGAAAAATAATGCTGTAATTGTTAAAGGAAAGGTTAAATGTTTCAAAATATTTTTTTTAGACGGATTTCACAATGCTGAAATTAGCTGCACTAGAAAGTAATAAAAATCAAGACTTGGAAAAGAAAGAAGGTCGTATAGATGACTTACTCAGGGTAAGTGTTAGACATGGGGTAAAGATACTTACTCAGAACAACAGACAGTGAATCTGAATCAAATATTTAAAATATATGAATAATCCTTGTTTTAAAAAATTACCCTGGATTTGCCTAAATTAAAAGGTGAAATTAGGTTTTAATTTTTGTACATTTTTCTTTTTTAAAATCAGAAAGTCTATAAAATGAAACGCATAAGGCTTTTTTTTCTGCTTCTGTTCTATGGCTTTTGAATAATTAAGTATGCTTGTAGACATTTAATAATTACGTTTATAGATAATGTGAAGGTAGATACCTGTATCTTCTGTGACAGTTTGTTTCAGGATATTTTTTCATATTTTGTATATATTTATTAGGCTAACTGTGATCTTAGAAGACAAATAGATGAACAGCAAAAGCTACTTGAAAAATATAAAGAAAGGTTAAACAAATGTATTTCAATGAGCAAGAAGCTTCTAATTGAAAAGGTAAGCTTACTGCTTTTAAAATTTTTGTAATGAAAACTGAGAGTACTGTAGAATTCCATTATGACTCCTTCTTTTTCACTTTTTTTTCACATTAATTTTTCACATTAATCTCTGAGACCGAAACTTTGTATGCATGGTCTTTATCTGGCAGTAAGTGTTTTAATAAGTCTGAATAGGCAAGATAAAATGTTGAACCTTTTTCAGATCATGGAAAATGTCTTTTTTAATTTAAGGAAGAGGGGGCTCCATCATAAGTAATTCAGATATAGCAAAGCATAAAAGATAAGAATTTAGTATGCAGCAACTTGAAGAATAAGATTACAATAGATTAAAAAATATCTGAACATAATCTGTTGTGGAGAGGAGACATAAAATCTTTGTGAGACACTTAAGTGATTGAGATAGTTTTTGAGGTATCATGCTAGAATGCTGTATTAGCTCAGAGTTATGGAAACAAGGCAATGGTGGTCACTGTCTACCTTCATACTACAATGAAAGAAATTTATTTCAAATTTAAAGCAAAATATATTTAAACTAGTAGCAAGTTCTTAAAAGAGAAGGCTTGTTTCTGTCGCTCTTCTTTAAAATAGCCTTATTTAAAAAAAAAAAAAAAATTAAAAAAAGTGAATAGAAAAACAGCTTATTGTAAGTTAAAACTTTAATGTAAACAGTCAAGTCTCTTCTGTAACACTAGCTGCTAGGTGCTGCTGTCAGATACAAGGGCATAAACTGATCTATTAGAGGACTAGGGAGTTTCCTCACTAGTATGCCTTAAATTATTGTAGTCCTTTCATTTCCAGCATAAGGGATATGCAGGGAGAAGATGCATCAGATCTGTTCTATAAGATGTTAGGTGGGCACCTTCAGAGTGAAATTCACATAGGCTATTTTTTGTGAAAGGCCATGCAGGCCTCCTTTTCAGTCTATAAGTCTGTTTGCACAAAGATTCTGTCAACTTTTCACTTCGTGTGTGTGTGTGAGGTTGTGGGCCATAGGCATTTCTTAAGCAGCAAACGTTTGTAATAATTAGGTTTTTATCCATCAGAGGTGTTCACGATGTTCTTTCTTCTTGTGCTGAAGCAGAGTAGGCATCTTTGTGATGTGATGAGTCTGTCTGTGGTAGTAGCGAGTGCTTCTGAGATGGGCATCTGCTTCTGTTACTGCAAGTGAATATCTGATTGCAGTTGTCCACCTGCAGTGCATTCCCATATAGAGATTCCTGACCTCAGTCAGTTTGGTACAAGTAGTAACATAGATGCTCTGTGAAAGCAGTTTCCAGGCTAAGTATAGTAAGTGCACTTTCTGATATCTAAGCAGTTCCATTTGGTGTAATAGACAGGTACAGACATTCTTAATTGTATAGCTAATTGTCCATCAGTTTTAATGCATTTACAAACAAAGTGTTAATGAGGAAGAACAGAGAACTTTATAGGAAAACTGAGTCAAACTCAGATACTTTTTTTTTGTGCACAAACCATCATTAGTACCAATTCTGACAACTGCAGATGTTTGAGTTCTGCAGAAATTAGAACAAATAGAGTAAAGTAATAAAAGATGGTTTTCATATGCTCTCCTTTTATTTCTCCCTTAGAAAGCGGGGGTTAAAAAGCCTGACTGTTTTACCGATTTTTTTGAACACTTTATTACTAAATAAGATTCTTTTTTTTGTTTTCTTAGAGCACACAGGAGAAACTGGCAAGCAGAGAGAAGAGCATGCAAGACAGATTACGCCTGGGGCATTTTACAACAGTTCGTCATGGTGCTTCATTTACTGAACAGTGGACAGATGGGTTTGCGTTTCAGAATCTTGTGAAGTTAGTCAATGTTCTCAAAATTCTCACTAATTGTTAGTTCCCTCTAGCGGTTTTTTTTATTACTAAGGTTCTAGGATTGGAGTGGTGTTTCATACGTTGTATTTCGCTTTTCCTTTTGAAGACTGAGAATACAGTACAGGTCTCCCTTTATCAGCTGAGAGAGTACTGAAGCTGGCTGTCTTTGAAAGACAGTTGGGTTTCACTTGATTTTAACTATGCTTGGAAAAGCATGAATGTGCTAAGTGAGCAGCACATAATTATTCAGCTCAGCTGGTAGAAAGAACTATAAAACTAAATCAGTGATTTTTTTTTCAAGCAGCTAACCATGTATCACTGGTGATCATTGGAGCAGATGAAGTCTTCGAAGTTCTCATTGGTCACATGTGTGTTGCCTGTGCATCTAGCACTGTAGCAGCTTTTTCAGGTGTCCAGCTTCTCAGTGCCATGAAGGAGGAGTGACAAACCTGGCAGCCTCAGATAGGGTCTAATGCAAGTGGCTGGGTAAAGCAGCCACCTGGAAAAGAGTTACTGCAACAGGTATTTTAGCAGACAAGGGGCCAAGGAAAAGGACTCTGGAAGACCATCAGAGATGATAATGAAATAATTATGCAATACCTCCAAAGGTATTCTTTGGTAATGAGTCTGATTCAATCCTTGGAGGTGTGTATATCTGTGCGTGTGTGTACATATGTGTATATATACACGCACATATTAAAAAAAAAAAAAAGTGATTCACTGAGAATTTTGTTTTTGAAGGTCACTGTGTGCTCTTAGCAATATGTGATGGCCTAGGACAAAGGTTTTTTAACACAATCCTAAAGAGAATCTGTGTGGGTGTTTTGCATAAAAGCTGCAGCTGTTTGCCATATAATCAAGTTGAGGATTTATTTAGGAACTATCAGATCAAGTTCAGTATTTGGCCTATTAAAATCAAGTACTCTTCATTGACTCTGTTACATTTCTTTTGAAGGTATAAAAGAAGGTATGCACCAGCTCAGATACATTCTTAAATTTTTCTAGTGCAGAAATCTTGTAACACCTTAGAAAACAAAACAATCTTAAAACCAGAAAAAAAAACCCAGCACATTTTCAAAAGTAAATTGTGCTAAAACTATCAAAAATTTTTCCATCTCATGAAGAACATTTGTGTTCTTTTTCCTAGGAAACATTTTCACAGGTACAGTAAGTTTAAGAGGTTTCTAGAAATGTTTTACCAGTTATAAAGATAGTTTTTTAAAAATGCAAAATGTTGAAACTTTAATAAAGCCTTTTTTGGGGTTTACAGGCAACAAGAATGGGTGAATCAACAAAGGGAAGACATTGAAAGGCAAAGAAAGCTCCTGGCCAAGCGAAAGCCTCCAACTACAAACAATTCTCAGGCACCATCTGCCAATTCTGAACCCAAGCAGAGGAAAAATAAAGCTGTGAATGGGGCAGAAAATGATCCCTTTGTTAGACCAAATCTACCACAGCTGTAAGTTTAACATTTCAATCAGTCTTTTACATAAATTCTCAGATATTGTCTGTGTGCGTTCTATTCAAATAACAGCATAAAAAGATACTCAGTATATTCAGCATCTATATTCTCATTGATGACTTGCTGATGTTAGGGAAATTCACTCCACTGCCTATGAAGATGTCATACAATTGTCCAATTTATTTTTGGTAAAGTCACCAGAGAAAGGCCCGTTCTGTATTTAAGCAATGTTCCTTCTCTTTCTGTGATCTATAGGAGTCCTTATTCTGGTTTCCTACTCTTGTAATGTCACTGATACCTATTGATCTGTTGATGTTTTTGTAATCCCCAGTGGTTTAGGAGCTTCTCTTTTAGTTAGAAATAATTTAAGTTTTCACGTAAAGTTTTCATTTCTTTAGCTGAAAAGAAAAGCTTTTTCCAGCCTTTAGTATTTCAAGACATGTCTAAAAACAAATGGAATTTTTTTTTTCTTTTTCCCCTTCTGAATGCTAGATCCTGAGGGCAACTCTCAGAAGTTACTGATGCCATTTCATGTATTGACAATGTTGAAATTTTTTGTCACTGAAGCATAAATATTGAGAGCTCTCAAAGTATTCTCCATTTTTCAAGTGACATTTTTCCTGCAGACAGAAATGGTATAATTCAAGGCAGAGACAGATGTGTTCTTGACATTTAATTTGAGTATTTTAAGAAGTTAAAGCTTGGAGATACTAGTTATTGCCCTTGATGCTAAAAAGCTGCAGCTGATAGCGTATCTGTTCCTAGTCATTTTAAATTAAATCACTAGGGTTAAAAAGACTAACAAATTTATTTGTTAATTTGCAGAAGTAGGCTATGTGTTGAATGTGATCACCTGTCATCTAACAGAATTTATAGTTCTGGCCATGGGGGGTAAATAACTGGTTAGGTCTGCAAAGTACGTATATTTGGAAAATCAGTTTGAAGACAGCTGCATATGTTTTGCATAATGTATCATTCTTACAGTTGAAGCTGTGAAATTCTTTGGCTCTGGCAAAAATACAGTAGTAATCATGAAAATACAGTATTAAGGCTGTAAGTAGCAAATACAAATCTTGATTAGTGTTATTCTTGTATTTTGGTGGAGAGCTGAAGGTTCATCACTCACTTTAGTAATACTTAGTGTCTACATTTCTTCTTCTCAGAACATAGTACTTTTGAAAAGTAAACCTTACTATCATGTTAAAAAATTACTTTTTGTTTGAATGTAATACCTTTTGTTATTAAAAGTAACATTTTAGTAATGTAAAAGACCTGAAAAATTACAGATCTTTTAATTTGCCAGCTTTTGACCATGTCTTCATTAATGTTAGATTTCCATAATCTTATTGCTGCTTTAGGAGGTGATAAAATACACATTTGGGAAAAAAGAGAGAAAATGTTCTAATTATTAAGCAGGACAAGATCAGGTCCTGATGATAGACTTCTGAATATTATCTGATGTTATGCAGTTTTAAATAATTTCCAAATTAATAAGAACTTTTCAAATTATCATTTAACCAGTTACATGTTAAATGGCACATGAAAATGCTTGCTAGTTATGGAACTGCCAAGAGAATGATACTTGCCCTTTGGTATCTAATGCTAGCATAAATGTAAACTGTTAGTGAATCGAAACTGTTGTGCCTTTAAGTATACTAGTTTGTTATAATCTGGGTATGAGATTGCTTCCTCATATGATAAGTTTATAGATTTTGTTCCAGACCTTTGAGAAGGTCTGTAATGTGTCCTGAGCTCACAGAATCACTAAAGCATCATCATGCTTTTAGAGGGCTTTTAAATGTTTGTATTTAGGATTCACTGTAATTTTGTATAGTGCCAGTATGTGTTGACTCCCCTCTGCTTCTCATACAGAACTAAATATGTCCTATGTATCTTGGTAGAATAAATATTAATTGTTCTACAATATTAACTTCTACTTAAGAGTAAATTTGTCATCTGCTATATGTGATTCCTTCCTATTACATTGTGCTTATCACTGTTCCTGTGTTACCTTGAAAAGTGATGATCTTAATTAGTATAGCCAAATGGAAGAGATTCTGTTTATATAAGGCATGGGGAAATGCAGAGCTGCTTGAAAGTAATGAACTCTACTACTAGAGTATTACTATCAGTAAGATGTATATGCAAGTGATTAGGCAGATCTTTTTTAAACAGACAAATAAGGTGCTAGCAGTTGTTAGCAACAAGTGCCTCTTTCACTGCATTGTTTGCTTTAGAAAGAAAACCCCTTCAGCTGCAGGTATTGACAAGAAAATATGATCTGTAGTGTTGTCATAAGCAGTATTATTGAAGCCCTTTTTGAGAACAGGTGTTAAATCTTTTGAAATGGATTGAAGGTGTTGTCTGAGGCATTCTTAATAGTGGTATCGTTTCAGTTTAGCTGAATATACTATGGTCTCTGATATGAATTTAAAAACAAAATTTTTTTCGCTGAAGTTTACTATGAAAGTGGCCATCTGCCTGTGAACCTGTGAGTGAATGGTGGGTTTGGTGTTTAAATAGCATGCAGCAGATGAGCCTAAATGCTGTCCTGGTTTTTCCATCATTCTTTCCCTTCCTGTGGCCTAAACCTAAATTAAAAAGTAGTTTCAATTTTGAGAGATCTGTTTCCTACTGAGCAAAGTAATTAGTCTTACATAAAAGGAATAAATTGAAATTTATTTAAAATAAAAACACTTATTTGAAGTAGAGGTTGTCTCCTTAGCAAAAAAAAAAAAAAGTCTTGAAAAGTCTATTCCAAATCCTAATCTTTCAGGTCCTATTTGGGACCTGAAAGATTATGATGCTAGTCCTTACCTCTTGGAAACAGCTCTTATTTCACTAGACAGTTCTAAGAACAGCATTTATTTAGTTTAGGTGTTGTAGTCCTTCCTGTGCAGCTTCAGCCGTGCTTACTTCCCAGTCACCTTTTCCTCTGCTTCCCAGTTTCTCCATGGGAGTCTGCATGCATGCTTGTCCCTGCGTGTAATTTGGAACAGGAGAGCAGAGGGAGCTGGCAGAATTTGTTACTGTAGCTAAACAAACGCATCATTTAGAGGGAGCATTCTATTCTGTATGGGACAAATGTAAATATTTTCAGAAACTTCTTCAGGCTGAAGTGCTAACAATGCATCTGGGCTTTACTGGACAAGTAAAGACAGCTCCTTTTTCCTTAGGCATTTTCTTTTTAAGGCAAACATGTAAACAACAGGCAAAAAGACCCCATGGAGGGGTTCAACTTGGTCAGCATCTGCCCATCCTTATAGAAATTTGAGGAACTAGAGGGAGAATAAGGTTGGACTGAAAAATGAGTGCTTCTGAACTTGTAGCCAAAACTTTGGATTTCTGTATGGCTGTTTAGGGGCATGGCCACGTTCTACTGTACTTGTGTATCCAGGATGATTTTTCAACTGGGAAAAGATGGGAGGAGAGTAGAGGTGGTTGTAAATGTGCCAGGCTTGATCATCATGAAAACCAAGGAGCCCGTGGCCGTTTTGGGTTTTTATCTTGTCTGCACCCAGTAGTAAGAGTGTTTTGATCATAGAAGAAGGTTTTGTCTGAAATTGTGAGGAAGAAGTGTGAAGAAGATAGGTTGTGTCTACACATGCATAATGAGTCAAAGCCTTTGAAAGCTGGCTATGAAAACATTGTTAAATGACTGTAAGGCTTATTTTTACTAATTTAAAAAAAAAACCAAAAGTTCAAATTGGTGATTGTCAAGCCTTTCAGGCCAGGTAAGCTGTCCACTTTCTTCCAGAGACAAGTGAAGTTGCCACGCCAGGGCCCTACACATCACAGTAAAAGTACACAACATGCACAGAAATATGTCCATTGCTTTTTGGGGAATTCCAGGAATTCATTGCATCTGTGTGATAGTTCATTTGTCTGTAGACAGTTAAAATACAACATTTATTGCACAGTAATTTTGAGGGAAAAATATGGCCAGGACCAGACTGTTACTAGATTAATTCATGCAACCTACTGCCAGCTGCTTTTCTTCTTCAATGCTCCTCAGATTAGCCTCAAGTCTGACCATCCATCTTAAGTTCATTTAGTGGATGGCAGCAACCTAATTCCAGCCAACACCCCTCTCCTGTGCTCCTCAGTGTTTCTTCCTCTGCGAGCTGTGTGTCTCAGGTGATGGAGGAGCAACCACTTCTGAGGGAAATTATGGTGTAGGTGACTTCTGTTTTCAGAAGGTGCCTCCAGTGTGCTGGTGCCTGGCGAAAGGCAGTGGGTAGGTGGAGAAGTGCTGGGCTGGTGGGAAGCAGTCTCTAGGCTGGATGTTTTCAGCCTGTGGAGATAGCTGGTGGACTATAGCCAGAAAGTAGACAGCATGCACACTGTCATTTTTTATTGCTATTTGTCATGTGCTATTTTAATATGAATATAAAGTATAGTGTATTTATAGATTTAAAAGTACTAAATTCCTATTATTAAATAAAAAATAAATGCTTCTGCATATGAGGGAATAAAGTTTTGTTTTTCATAAGTAAACACACAAAATCCAAAGTAACTGTGTATAGTTCAGTGTTTTATATGCCTTCCTCCGAAATGTGGTCAGTAACAACAGGTTGAAATTGCTGTGAATCATGCTGTGCCTCTACTAGAGTTAGATTTGTAAGGAAATAGAAAAATAGAAAACAGTCATTTCTAGGGATATAGCATAGAAACATGGAAGGGGTGGCTTTGAATCTTAATGTTTTCAATATGACCACTCAACTTGTGCTCTGTGCTCAAGAGGGCTATTTAAGAACTTCTTGGAAGGTAAATCTTGCTAGAGCTGTATAGGGACTTTGTCACAACTCTGCCTATATAGCTGAGGTTTTATAAAAAGGACCAGATTTCCTGTATTATGTTAGTCTTTCAGGGGATGTGTGGGTTAAGGGCTCTCAGTATTCAATGAAAATTCTGGAAGGTTGTGCCATAAACTTTGTATTTTCAGTGTTTTACTTGTGGTTCAGCTTTTCTAAGCCACCTAAATGCTCTTCTTCCCGAGAAAGTCAAATTTTACTGTCTGCGCTTCTGGAAGTGCACAAACCTGTAATTTATACTGCAGACAAGAATCTGGAAAGAATAATATTCAACCATGTACACATTGGCATTGATCCTTTGCCTGTTTTAATTGAGAGCTTTATCCATGTTAGAGTAGTTCAACTGTTTGAGTAGAAGTATTGAAAAAATGTCAGTGATGCTGCTGTGAGTTGTCTAGCGTTGCCTTGATAGGCCTAGCAGATGTGTTAGAACAGAAATTAGAGAATTGTTATATTCCTTGCCGTTACTTGGATTGTACAGAGAATGCATTGCCAGCTTTCCTAGCTATTGAGACACCCCATTTCACATTTGCTTTAATGCTTTAATGCCTCTTCTTTTACGGTGTAGTGTCTAAACCCAGAAGAGATTCTACTGGTAAAAGAATGGAAATGTTTGGTCCCAAAATCTGGTACTAAGGGACCTTTTGCCTGTCTTTGAGAGGCAAATTCCCTCACTCTGTTGCCTTCAGAGTGTTTGGGGACATCTGTTGACTGGAATACAAAGCTGCTTTTCCGTCCATTAAGAAAAAAAGATGTGGGCTAACTTTGTGTGAAATTCTGTATTTAGGAAATAGAGAGTAGGAAGGGGCTCTGTGAAGGTTTCAGTGTCACCAGGTTTTATCCTGAAAAGATGCAATCCTTTATTAACAACTTTTGAGACCAAATAAATACAGGGTTTAGAATTCTGAAAGCCACAGCAAAATAAATCCAAGTTTAAAGGAGAGGAAGAAGTCTTGCCGTTTATTAGCTTTCTGCAAATTTTATTGAAGTTGACACTTCCTGTAAGAGAAACCTGAATTGGTGTCCCTCACCTTTGGGGAAACTACTGGTGATTCTTGGGATGCTCCAACTTCTTAAACTTGAGATATGAACAGCAGGTATAGCCTTCTAAACACTTTTTTGTAATCGGTCTTCTCAGGGCAGTTCATAACTGAACCTTCTAAAATGCAGACTTCATGAAAATGTGTTACGCTATTAGTTTAGCTTTGCATCATGAAAGAAATAGTAGATCTAGGCAAAAAAATAAAATTTTTAATTTATTGGCAGGGATTTGTGTGAATCTTTCAAGGAGGCTATGCTTCTTTCTCCTTCCCCATCCCCAGTTCCCTTTTATCGTACATGTATGGTTTCTTCTCTGGAACTTGAAGCCTTTGGTTTCTTCTCTTTGGTGGTTTGTCTTCTGTGCCTTTTTGTTCACTTGTTAGATAGATACTGCGTGAAGTTAGTTCATGGGTTTCTTAGTTACAGTCTAGATACTCTGGATACTGACTGTATCCCAGCAAGTCTACAGAGTGAGGGATCAGTGAATTAATTGTAGCCAGGAATCTTTTCTGAAAGGAAGAGAAAAAGAGAACAAGCAAAGGAGTTGCATGCCAATTCAAAACTGAATTTGTGGTCTTATGCAAAATGTAGTGCTAAAGAACTTGGAATATATATGGTGATGCACTACATTCCTGAAATCACACTCAAAAATCCAGTGTTATCAGGCTTGTCTAGTTGGTTTCTGGATCTCCATCCTTTGGTTAAGTGTTAGAATTGAGAACCAAGCACTGGAGTAGCATCAGCTAAAATACTGATTGATATGATTCATGATGCACCAGACAATCTAACAGGCTGTCTGAGAGAACAGAAATGATCCATTGGGAGAGGCAGTTAATGTTCCTGAATATCAGGTACAGGGACATTCTGTAAGCATGTATTGACCCTGGAATTACAAACCAAGATGTTCAGATGGTTCAAAAATGTAGTCCTTGTGTTGTGGTAGTAAATAATTAACATAAGGTTATTTACTGTAGTATTTAAATAGTATCGTTTAGTTTACCGTCACATAAAAGCTATAATTAGTTTGTTTTGTTTTTTCAGTTTGACTCTAGCAGAGTATCATGAACAGGAAGAAATTTTCAAACTTCGATTAGGACATCTCAAAAAGGTATGAATACGGTTTGTCGTTCTAAGATACACTTTTTTACACCATGCTCAAAACCATAAAATCTAGTAGCATCAAAATGAGGAAGAGCTTATTGTTGTGAGCTGTCTGATTAGAAAACATAATACTAAAAGTGCTGTACAATTTCAGGCTTAATAGTGGCTTTCCTTTTTTTTTTTTTTTAATGCAACTTGCCATAAATACTGGGAATACAGGAGAGTAGTAGTGAGTCCATCCAGTGTAACACTACTGATTCCTTGAATCTTTCCAACACTGGTAACAGTGATGATACCACAATTACTGCTCTTTTTTCAGAGCTGAGGAAGTGGAGTCAGCCAAGTTTGGTATATGGGCTTTTTGCATTAGTTCTTGATCTTTAGAAAGGTCCAGTTTACAAACCATTGCATTTTGGAATTAATATATTCTGTTTTGATCATCTACAGCATCCACTTCAGTTATTATCAGTCAGCATACTACCTATTGCAAGAGAGAATATAATTTTCCTACTTGTGTGGAAAAATCTCTTCTTTGTATCTTAAATTATTTTTGCAGTCAGGTATTTTACTTCAGTTTTTCATTTTGGAAAAAACCTACTTTTTTCTTGAAGCTTATCATTCTAATAATCCTGTGTAATAAGATAATTATGATATTGGCAAACTATTGCTTATTCAACCAAAGCTTTTGAGGCTGTTCAGGCAAAACTTGTGAAAAGGAATGACAGTTGATATTACTTTTCAAAAATAAGAGGGTTTTTTACCTGCTGGTTTTGCCCGGGAAGAAAACACCCCCAGTGGGACCCCAGTAGTACCTCCCAGGGTGGTCTGCAGCAAAGAGGAGGACAGTGGCGGTTAAAGGAGGGATGGGCAACAATCACTTTCTTCCAAAATAAAAGGTTTTAATAACATGAAAATAACAAACAAAACCACCTGAGGCAGGCACTGAAACAGCACCCACCCCAGGGGGGGAAGTGAAAGAGCATGTAGCCTTGCGGCCACAGGTTTTTAAGAGGCTGGGAGGGGGGTTTACAAAAGGCATTGGCCTGTAAGGATACACGGATGGAATACCTACAGGTCAGGGGTCCAGTGGGTGTTAGGGGATTGGTCGTGTGGTGGCTAAGCCAACCACAACCTGGGAAAGATGGAAAATTCTGGATGTGTGCCCATGTTTGGGGACAAAGCGGTAATAGAAACCTCTGTCTCCAGGAGGCGCACTGCAGCAAGTTGACGCAGGCAGAAATCTCTCAACAAATGTGAAAGGAAAATACCTTTATCTGCTGAGCAGTAGTTCTTGACGTGTTCAGTCAAAACAGGTCATAGCGTTTTTCCCCTTGAAATGCTGCAAGAATCTGTTTTGGGCCTGTTCTCTCCAAATGTGCAAGTCACCTGTTGCAAAATCCCACTATAATAAGCTGAATTGGTTCCCTTGAGAACAATGATACTGTTTTTACAGAATATGACAAGAAAGGACTTGAATCTGTGGTAGGGAATCTGCATATAAACTTTTTGGTACTAGTGAAGTAGCTTGCATGCATAGTTCTTCTATGTTAATGCTATAATAAAACAGCGACAGCTTCACATGAAATTCTATTAGGAATTTCTGTAGGTTTTTTTCTGTGCTTTAACTGTTTCCAAGTCTAATGGAGATTTCAAGTGACATGAAAGAAGCTGTTACACAGTTGTTTAATACTTCGATTGTTTTCACCTTGAGCATTAATACTGGGGTGCTCTGTGTAAGAAGGAACTTCCTTGACTAAATGCCAGAGGGGAAGCAAATGTTACTTCTGGCAAAGGTTACTTCAGGACAACTAAGCACTTCATGGGTCTAGAGAACAAGTCCTACAAGTCATAGCTGAGCTAACTGGGGTTGTTTAGAGCCTGGAGAAGAGGAGGCTCGGGGGAGATCTTATCATACTCTACACCTACCTGAAAGGAGGATGTAGTGCGATGGAGGCTGATCTGTTCTCCCACACAGAAAGCAATAAGACAAGAGGAAATGGCCTCAAGATGCACCAGGAAAGGTTTAATGACATTACAAGAAAAATTTCTTCACCAAAAGACTTGTTAAGCAGTGGAACAGGCTGCCCAGGGAAATTATTTGGTCACCATCCCTAGAGGTATTTAAAAGACACATAGATGTAGGGCTTAGTGACATGGTTTAGTGGTGACTTGTTAGTGCTAGGTTAATGGTTGGACTCCATGATCTTTAAGGTCTCTTTCAACCAGAACAATTCTGTGATTCTTAGGAAATCATGTTTGAATATATCTGAAAATAATAATAAAAATACATACATGCATTTTAATTCTTAATATGCGATACAGATTCTGTCATTAACTAAGAAAAACAATTTCACTGTCTTCCTTTTACATGGCTGTATTTCTTCCTTAGTGCTTCATTGCTGGTTGAATTTTTTTCTTCTTCTGCATATGCTGTTTTGCTGTCTGCTCCTCTTCCTTTTCGATCTCCAGATGCTTTCCTGGTGCTCTTACTTTCTGGTGCCCTGTACATGCTGCCACCACCAGTTTTCTTTTCCGTCTGCTCCCCAGGAAATTCTTTTCCAGCTAGCAGTTTTGGTCCTGGAGGAGAGGCTCTTGTTTTCTCACTTCCTTTTATATAGCAATGACCTGAGGCAGCTAAGCTGGTTCATTCTTGCTTAAAGGTATTCACAGCCGGAGTGTCCTAAATAACAGCTGGAAACAGTGAAACCAGCCAGTTCTTCTTGGAGTAACATTGGCCTATGAACCACATTTTGAGAACCACTGAATTGCATAATATATGAACAAAAAAGCCCAAAAGAGGCATAACTGATGGATTTTTTTTTTTTGTTAGCCTTTGGGAAGAACATAGACAATTGTGTGTGTATAAGTGTGTGGCCCTTTGTGCGGGAAGAAGGGCTAGAATTCTTTATAAAGGGCTATTGGGTTATAAGGAACTGCATATCATTTCAGGATATTTAACAGAGAGCTGCAAAGATTAATCTAAATACATAAAAAAAGAGTTTAATGTTGTATGAACCGGGGTGGGAACAAAAACCAACCAAAACCACAACTTTGGCATTAAGTGTTAGGAAAAAACAAATGATCTGCTAGCAGATCAGTTTTGTTTACTCCAGCTTTTAAATTATTAGGAATTTGATTTTTGTTTTCTGAATGGAAGTTCATCTGATGTCTTGCTTTAGGGATAAGAGGTTTTTTCCCTTAGTTTAGTGGGAGGATTTGGAATATCCACTGAAATCATCTGATCTAGACTCCTCAACTTGTTGGAAGTGTGGTCATTTGATGTGTGTTTTAGATTTTACAAATAGAGTTGTTGTTTCAGGATGTGTTTTTATGACATACAGCGTAGGTAAATACCAGCTTTACAGCATTTTCTGTTCCCTCTGCTGAATTCTGCCTCCATCACCTTAGGCCATTACTTGTTACCCTTTGCTTTTACCAGCACTAACAGGTTGTGCAGTGACAGTATAAACTGGATTGGAGAACTGATCTAGCTTCTTTCAAAAACCAAATATCTATCTTGTGAGGCTTGCTTTCTTAAAAAAAAAAAATCAGTTTGCTTCAATATGTGGCTGTACATATATGTACATATATATACATAAGAGGCTGTGCCAAAATAACAAGATGTGGGGCTATCTTGTTATTATATGGCACTATATCAGATGCCAGTCCTTCTCTTTCCTTTTCAGCTAGAATAATTCCATAATTATGAGCTTTCTGATATGGACTGCTTTTGTCTCCCCTTTATTCAAACTTTCAAATTCTAGAGGTACTAACTTTGGAATTGCTATAACCCTTTCTACAGTGTCTTGCAATGAGTATACATTTTTCACTTCAGGTTTATACAGAGGCTTCCACAAACAAGGTGTTGTGAATTCTTTAAGTTTTTTAGCGAATCTGAATAAACAACTATTTCAATGTTCTCTAGTGTGTAGCATAAAGATGAGATCATTTTAAGTGCTGAAAATAGTTAGGAAGTATGCTCCTACCTGACATGCTTCTTCTGAAGTTGCACTCAAAATCTTAGGCAAAATACAGATTTTGCATTTGTAATTTTATTAAGATAGAATTGGAAAAATCTTGTTAAATTCTAGTGTCTTGTATCAATACCTTAAGAACATTTCTGCTGTAATTACTTATTCTTCTTTTTTAATTTGCACTTCAATCTCAAAATATTTTAAACCTTTTCTTAATTTATCACTTTGTATAAAATCTGTAACTGCACATTTCTCAGTGTTTTTCTTCTTTGTACGTCAATTTCAGACCACTTCCCAGATAATTTCTCTCCTTGGCTGGGGTACAAAACCCAGCTGCCTCTCATTTCAAATAGCATCCCTACAGTGCAGAACAAAAGTGTGAACATCCCATTACCTGTTCATGGACAGAAAGGTTCCTTGAAACAGGCTTTTGCCTTATCTTTCTGAATTTTTCTGGCTTAAGAAAAAAACAGTGCTTTCTTCTAGTTCAGCAGGGTTTTGTAATGTGTGTAATGTAATGTTCCTCCATCACCACTAGTATTGATGCAGGGGTAAAAATATCCTTTTCAAATGGGGAGTAAATGAGCTTTTAATTTTCCTTCTTTTCATTTGCAGGAAGAAGCTGAAATACAAGCAGAACTTGAACGTTTGGAAAGAGTTAGGAATCTTCACATAAGAGAACTGAAAAGAATAAATAATGAAGATAATTCACAGTAAGAGACTTAATTTTTTATGTCTATTTTTAAAATAACGTTCTAGTCACGTTTTACCTACAGAGAGCTCATTCATAAGTTTTTCTTTGATTCTCTGTGTTTTAAACACCAATATAATTAAACTTAAAAAAAAAAAAATTACTTATAATTTGATAAAGTTATTAATGGCTTTATTAAATAAGCAAGAAATAACATAGTCTTATCTTATAGTGCAGGAGAGCTAAAAATTGCTAAACCATATTGCTAAGCTAAAAAAAAGTACTTGTAAAGGAACCTGATGACATTCATTTAAGCTGAAAATAATGCAAGAAAATTACAGCGAGTTTGGATACAATACCAACAATTTTGTGGTGTTAAAATTTTGTTTTGTTTTGTTTTATTGTACTGTAATTTCATCTATAACCATAATCTGTAACCAAATTATCTTTGGTCTTATTGTACTGTAATTTCATCCGTAGTAGGAAAAGACAAAAGCTAAGTCTTTAGTAGTATGTTAAAATGTTACTCTGTGTCAGTTTGCATAGCAATATATCATAAGGTTAAAATGTTATTTAACTATGTGGATTTGAAAGTAAGAATTACATAGCAAAAAAATGCATTCTGTTTTCCATGATGCTGAACACAAACTTCAAGGCCACGGTTCTGTCAGCGCTTTACGCTCACGCTGTTGCTTGCAGGGAGCTACTGATGCGCTTGCCCTGTTCCTTTCACATGGCTGCAGTGGTGTTTCTTTACTAAACAGGCCATGAAAGTTGATCTCAGTTAAAACCAGCTCCAAAAAACCCATTTATTTTTCTGGATTGATTTTAACCCTAGATCAATATCCTGGTCTGGTTCTTTGCTCCAATTACAAAAATGCTTATGTGGCCATGAGGGGCAAGAACAGTGCAAGGGCGGAATGAGCAGTCAGGGGAAAGGAAGTCATGGACTGGGCTTTTTTCTTTCTGCACTAGTCAATGTTCGTGAAACAACAGCCTTAAGATTTCAGGGGCTTATTTTTTACTTCTTAGATGCAATAGAATGATATATATACAGTAAGACTTCTAAACATTAAAGTAACAAGGTGTGAACTTGTGCTTAACTATTTTAATGATCCCCATACCTACTCTACAGGAATACAGAGAACTTACGTTACCATGTGGCTGTAATGCTAGTTGATAGCTAAGTTGATGTGGTGCTTTGGATATGAAAAATAGTAGGTGTTGATGCTTACAAATCAATGGTAGAATATTTTCTTTGAAAAATAAATGTCCTTAAATAAATAAAAAAAAAATAATTAAAAAACCACACCCACAAGCAGTTCTTTGCAGGTTAAGTGATAACCATTTTAATCTTCAGTGTTTGTGTTAGAAAAGATTTGGTTTGGTTTGGTTTTTTTTTGTTTAAAGGGATTCTTCAACAAAAAGGAATAAAAACCACAGAAAAATGACAGGCTTTGACTGTGTAAATATTGCATATGTGAGGCAAAGAATGTTGCAATTACAGTCCCAGGATTTACAGGACATGGACAAGCAGAATGCTTTAACTTCACTGCTCATTTTCTGCAGTCAGTGTTGATGCATTTTATGGTACAGAATGAAAAGCTTTAAACTGTGTGTTCGTGTTTTTGTGGGAATTAGACCAAGTGGCCAAGCTGCAGCTTGCACTCGTAACACAGAAGACAGAAGCAATAGAGAAGTAACCTGGGTCTGTAGCTCCTGTTGTCTTTCCTAACATGACTTGGCAACTGGCCATTTGGTAAGGAACAGGGTTCTGAAGCTAAGCAGCTGTTGGGTCCTGACTCAGGTTCTGTCGTGTTTTCAGCTTCCATCTGTGATGCAGAGCTGAGCCCTTTTTCTTGTTCTAGCTATGTGCCTTTCTACATCCCTCTTTTGGGCTACGGGTCACATGACATCAATTGCCTAATTATGTTACCTTTAAATCTGTTATTTTTTCTACACAGAGTGCATTTCTTACCATTTATGATTTTTTTTTAAATGTCTTTATCATTGAAATATATATTTTCATTATAAGGAAAAGGGAGAACTTTGTTTAAAAAGGGTACAGTAAGCAAGAATATGCATCTTCCTTCAAATACTTGACTATCTGTGACCATGCTTCCAAAACTGTAGAGAATATGGAAGGATGGGATGACCTATTGGCAGACTATCTCTAAATCCTTCCTTCAGGTTTTCTCTGGAGTATAGTGGGCAGATCACCCTAGGTTCGTCAGTATAGTTGTATCATCTTTGCGCTATTAATGTGATGAGTATTCAGCTCCCTTCCCCTTGACTGGCTGGAAGGGTATATTTCGCGTCTTCTGCACATTTCAGGAGGGAGTATGGTCCTTTTCTCTGTCTTGAGGCTTGATTTTGTATTTGGAAGGAGTGTTTTCTTCTTGCTTTTGATTAGAGTATGAACAGATATTCAGTCCTGTGGTGGTTTTTTTCTATATTGCTGTTTGTTGTTAACTTCTTGGTGTTAGACACAAGCCGTTTTGTTAAAAAGCGGTGGGTCATGTTTCTTGTGAAATTAGAAAAATATCCTTCTCATCTATTCGAGAAAGCTGAAGTTTGAGACCTCTCTAAAATTTGGGAAAACGGAGAGCCCTTATGGTTTTCTAATCCTCAAAATATAGGGAAAAAAAAAAGTGGTGTTGTGATAGCATTTGTACACTAAATAGTCAAAAGGTACTGAATATATATAATTGTGCCATAAGATTACACATGATGTAATATTACTTAGCATATTATATATTGCTAGTAAAACGAAAGCTCCGTTTGAGAACTAGTACTGAAAGGTTCACATGTTAGTCTCTGGTTTTATAACTTAAATAGAACTAAATGAGTTTTTCTTTTCTTTTGAGATTTAAAGATCACCCCACGTTAAACGAACGGTATTTGTTACTCCATTTACTTGGCCGAGGTGGCTTCAGTGAAGTATACAAGGTAGTGTGTTGAGTCTGCTAAACCTAACATTTGAGCCATGTACCTTTGTACATTTAATTTTGGTGGAGAGGGAGGGGATTCAAATAAGCAGAAGGATAATGTGGTATACTCTTTAAACACTGAACAAACATCAGTTAACTCATGGAGGGAGGTAGCATTACAATAGATTTGTCCATAGACTTGTGAATGCCAGTTTTTTTCCCTCTCTTTGTTGGGTGTTATTTTTGTCATCTTTGGTTATAACTTTCGCATATTTATTGGTTTCTTTTTTAGGCTTTTGATCTTTATGAACAAAGATATGCTGCTGTGAAGATTCACCAGCTTAACAAAAGCTGGAGGGATGAAAAGAAAGAAAACTACCACAAGTAAGTATTAAAGACTTATGCTTCATATGTTAAATTGAATGCCATTGTATTGATTGTAGAAGGTTAACGTATCACTTTCCTTTTTAGACATGCCTGCAGAGAGTATAGAATACACAAAGAACTGGATCATCCCCGGATAGTTAAACTGTATGACTACTTCTCCCTGGATACAGATACGTAAGTACATAAAATGATATGAACTTGAAAAGGGTTTTAGTGCTGTATATTGGATAAACAGAAATTAAGAGTATTTGAACAAAAATAATTTGTTCTTCCTTTCAGCCAAAATATTCAGGGTTTCCTTAAGGGTATTTAAATAAAAAATACTCTAGTTGCAGAATTTTGTCTCGGCTAAATATTGTAGACCTTCACTAAAGTGATGAAAACAGTCTTTTGCAATGCCTGACTAGCAAGCCCTGCAGGATGTCCTGAAGGTGAAAGGGACATGCAGTGCTACAATGCTTTTGGGCAAAGCAAGGGCTGCTACAGGGCAGTTCCAAAAGGCAGCTGTGGCTTAGACAAGTTTCCAAGACTAAGTAACATCAGGACCATTATTAGTCTAAGTGTAGCCTGTGGTCACTGGGCTGTACCTCTTTGCATAAAATTGTCACATCTTAAGGGACAGTGAATATATTTTTCTACTGAGAAACATGCCTACATAAATAAGGTATTTTTTTTAAACTTAACCTGTCATCAGTATGGAAGCATTTTCTCTTCTGGTGAGTATGAATATTCTGATTTATGTCAGTTTTCATAAGCTAATGGTTAAGCCATGTGTTCTATAAACTATTTCCTTCAAATAGTGTAATATTTAGGCAGCCATTCTTAAACTTGTCAGTATCAAACTAGGTGGTTACGTCTCTGATTCTGATTGTGCAGTTCGATATGTTATTTAATTTTGTCTCTCTGAATTCTGCCCTAGGTTTTGCACAGTGTTAGAATACTGTGAGGGCAATGACTTGGATTTCTATCTCAAGCAACATAAATTGATGTCAGAGAAGGAAGCTAGGTCCATTGTAATGCAAATAGTAAATGCACTACGCTATCTCAATGAGATCAAGCCCCCTATTATACACTATGATCTTAAACCAGGTAAATGAGAAATGTTATGAATTAAAGTAATCTCTTCTTTTATCATTTATTTTGTTTGTAATTCTTGCCTGAAAATACCAAAATTGTCTTCTGTATGTCAAGGTTGTTGTAAACAACTGAAAAATGTGTGTACTTTTCTTTCTGTTTTTACTGCCAAAATGATCTGTCTTTTCTCTGGAAAAATGTCTGTTGTAACTTTTCTGCTTTGTTTTATTTATATTTGAATTTGTAGAAAAAATCATATAGCACATAGATATATGCATTGCTATTTAGCAATATAAACAGGTAAGATCATTAGGTGTCTCAGTCCCATCTGGTCATTGTGGAATGTAAATAATTTTTCTCTTATGTATTTCATAGCCTGTAAAGTATTGAAATAGATAATCACTTTCAGCATCCCAGCATAAGCACGTCAAGACTTTACAGAAGCTTCCTTTACAATCGATAATAAATATTGTCATGAACAATGTATTCTGTCTTGATTCCATGGCCTTTGTTTTACCACCTTGCATGAATAATGCTTGTATTCTTCAGGCACTTTAATCAGCTACACTTCCAAGTGCAGGGTTTGTAATGTAAATCTTAGTGGCAACGTGTTTGCTTGCTGCTGTGTAATTAATTGTTCATATAGATTTCTCTCATATTATGGAATTGTATAGAATGCATTCTTCATCTCATTAGTTTTTGTTCTTGGAGGAGCTTAGCCAAATAACTTTTATACCAAGAAAGTACTGTACAACTTTAACACCTGGAGTAAGAGTCATAATACTGTAGCAATTTCTTGGCACAATTTTGTGGCATATGCGAGCCCTGAAATGTGTAGAGTAGGATTTGTTCTGGGCAGAAAAATATGAAGCTTCATTGTTAACTGATATACTGCTACATTTTGGTGTTTCCTCACTACATTTGGTGTTTTCTTGCTGTCCAGCCAGCTCCCAGCTGGGGGAGCCATTTCAGATGATGATGGTAATCTAAGTCCTAGAGAATTCCTGATACTGCACTGGAATGTGTCATAGACAGTTACTCTAGACTTGAGCATGTAAAGATGATGTAAAGTCGTCACACCTCATCAAGTTAGGTGTTCCTGAAAGTTTAGCCTGATTTTGAAAATAAAGCATTCTGGTAGCTTTTTTTTGAAGTAATTTTTTTTTTTTTTTTTCTTTCTTTCCTGGGTAGGTAACATCCTTCTTGTAGATGGAACAGCATGTGGAGAAATAAAAATTACTGATTTTGGCCTGTCCAAAATAATGGATGATGATAGCTACGGTGTGGATGGAATGGATTTAACTTCACAGGGAGCAGGAACTTACTGGTAATCTCTGGTTTCAGTTTGCTGTTTAGACTCTAGGTTGTTCAGATTTCATAGAAGCTCTCTTTTAAAGCCAGTTTGTAAAGAGAGCTATGATTAAAGATATTAACATGGGTGACAAAGATTTTTGTGCAGTACTGTGAATGTTGATAATTCCAAGTGTTAGTACAGTAACATAAGTAAAATAGCATGTGACTGGGTGTTGCTTATTTTTACATACAGAACTATATAAATGTGGAGACGATCACTATGATTTAGAAGCATAGTTTCCCTGAAGAAGCAGGTGTTTAATCTTTGGCTATAGGTGGTTGAAGACATTTGACAGAGCTACAATGATTAAGTGTAGGTGCTTAGTCCTTAGAAATCTTAGAGCAGGGATTACTGGCAGGTAATGTCCTTAGGAGGAAGGAGTATTTACTTTTTCATCCTAAAGGTTAATGACAGCTCAGCAGCTGTGGTTTGTTTTCTGTGTACACTTGCATGCTTCTCCAAAAACCTGAAGTTTTAGAGCTGCCTACAGAACAGGAACTACAATAAGTATTTCATTACTTACAGAAAAGCTGTTTCTAGAAGTTGCTTTCTAAAGATGCACCTTCTTCATGACACAGTAGCTCTTTGAGCCTGGGTTCATGGCAGCTGTGTCAGGGTGGGTGGAATAGAAAGCCTGTATTGGTCAGGTTATTATTTGTGAATTCACGTGTTTTTTCTCTCCTCATTCTGCCTGTAGGAAGAACAAAGTCAGGAGCTGAAACCTAACTAAACAGAGAAGCCAGTGTCATTCCAATTTGTTCTGCAATTTTTCCCATGTTCAGAAATTGCACATAATAAACATTTTGCTTTTTCCTTCAGATTTTTTAAAAAACACACATACTCTTGCGCAAATGCCAATGTGCACATGCTCTGAAAAAGCAGTTATTCAAGCTAAAATATTTTAGAAGTGTTACGCTTTTGCCATTCTTTTTAATGTTCTAAATTTTTAAATACCAATTTAAATATTTTATTGTAGGAATCTAAGTAAAAAAATTTTGGCCTTTGGATTTCATCTAAAATGCCACAAGCACTAAGAGTGCTGTAAACTGAGACCAGAAAAGGTCTGTGACTATTATAGGTTCATGATGAATCTCTACATTTCCAGTTCACACTGTCTCTGAGCCCAAAGTAAGTCTTCATTAAGAAGGGAAATAACTGAGTGAGTTTGAAGTCTGTTTAGAGCAAATTGCACAAGCTGCCCACAGCATAGTCCTGGAAGGGATTTCCTCAGTCACTGGGTTCGGTTACCTGCCTTTCTATTCAGTTAGGTCACATAATCTCTTTTGTAAACTTACAGACCTTTGTATTAAATTTAGTTAGTGTTTTGTCCCCAGTAATCTGATTTGAAGTGTGTTCCGTAACCTCAGTTCTCTGATCATGAGAAACCTAATCCTCTAATTTACAGACTGTGTTTATTTGTGGCCAGTTTATACTTGTTTGTTCCTGTGCTAACACTGTGCTCCATGAAGTAGGTTATTTCCCTTCCTAGTACTTGCTCCTTGGTGTTTTTACAGATAGCCTTCGGTTGTTTTTTCCCTGAACCTGTAGGCTCTCTGTTGCCATGTTTCAAAGGGGTTTTTTGTTTTTTTAGAGAAGGTTCCATATGACTAGTTCTTCCGTAATTCAGGAATGTCACAGGAGCTTCCACGACTTTCAGCCCTTTAAGTATGGCTTCCTACAGACTGTAGGAATGGAAATAGCAATCACCTTTGTCTGTCATATATCCCTCTGGTTAATGTCAAGTTTCTTACTAAAAACTTAGGTAAAGAGTCTTTAAGCCATATCTACATTGTCTTTGATTCTTACCCAGGCCTTGCTGTAAAATGCCTGTATGGCTTTCATCCTCTGCTGGAAAATGGAGAAGGTTCATGTTTAACCTAGGATCCACATCTTTTAGAAGTGATATTTAGTGATTTAGGTAAAGAATGTTAGTATTTGTGCTTGTATGAAATAATGTCCATTTTGTTGCATGTGCAAAGTCTTGGAACGTGAATCATAAGGCAGCTGTACAGAGGTCAGATCATCAGAGATGCGTATGTGAAGCATTTGTATAACTTGATATTTGAACGAGGTCTAGTGATGTCATACATCTACTTGCAGACACTGAGATGCATGTTTTATTTTCCAGGTACTTGCCTCCAGAGTGTTTTGTAGTTGGCAAAGAGCCACCAAAGATTTCTAATAAGGTTGATGTATGGTCAGTTGGAGTAATCTTTTTCCAATGCCTTTATGGTAGAAAGGTAAGGAAAATGTTCTTTGAAAATCCTAAGACTTCTAGTGTAAATGCCTGTTTCCTGGAGATTCTGAATAAGACAAAAACGTGAATCTACATGGAAAATTGTGCGTGTAACTTTCTGGTGGTGTACATTGATACTGCAAGAAACGTAGAAGATCTTGACTGAAATTTCTTTATTTACGGAATAGTTAGCAGTTTGTATTAACACTGCAACAACTTACTATATCATAAGTATTCATGAAACCAGAGTGGTTGGATAACTCTCATGAAGAAAATCATGTGCTTGTTTTTCAGCCCTTTGGCCACAATCAATCCCAGCAAGATATCTTACAAGAAAATACAATATTAAAAGCTACAGAAGTTCAGTTCCCTGTCAAACCTGTTGTAAGCAATGAAGCCAAGGTAACTGTTCACATGATCTCTGGGTAACTGCTAATACATTCATCATAAAGGATTCAGCTGCAAAATTGCTGTTAACCTAAGAATACTGTGGGGCGTAGTAATTGAAAGTGTAGGAGAACATAATGGAAAACTAGTATTTTGATGTTTTTATTTAAGCAACCTAATTCTGAGACTTCTCAAAATCACGTACCTCAAAGTGAGACTGTATCGAGAGAGAGGTATTCCAGAAATTTGCAAGTGGTTTTGAAGTAGACTGCTTCAAAAATGGTCTCCTTTGCTTTTTCCTTAGGACCTTAGGTGTCTCACTCAGGCTGTCTCACTAGAATGTCTGGTGAAATACGCTAACAGTAACAAGCTCTTTGTGAAAATAGTGGATGTTATTCTCTGCAGCCTTATTGGTTTGAAGAACTATTTGACTACCAAATACCTGGAGGATGTGCCTGCTGGCACTCTTCCCCTTGAAAGGTCATATATAGTATGTGTATATTAACTCAAAGCTAAGTTTAGAATCATAAATTCTTAAGCTTAAGAATCTGTAAGATGTGTTGATGCTGACTGAGGAAATAGAACTCCCAGAATGGTTGATCTGCCCCACAGGTATGGATGGCAATATTTCTTTTATTTCAAAATCTTATTTTGAAACATCTGTAGTATCAAACTCATCCCACAGACTAGCTATTCTGAAACAGGTTAAGGTGTTTTCCCAAACAATTGCGGCTGGGAGCATCTATAACACTAATCCAATTCTGTGAATGTGGAAGAAATCATTATATATACTACTTGTTTGTAAAGCTGTCCCAGTTTTTGAAAGATATATTTATGGCCAGATGCAATGTGCTTATTGGAAAAAAAAAAATGCCAAGATAGTAGAATGTCTATTTAAAGTTTCAGCAATGAATTAAATATACTTAGATTTGGGACACAAACTGCAAAAAAAGTGAGGAATGCTACTATGTAGCTTCTAAATATTAAAAGGAAAGGAAACCTATTTCTAGAGGCTGTAACTTCACAAGAAAGTGTTTTGGGTGCATAAACCTTCTGTTACAATTTCTAGTGTATTTCTGTTGGATATATTTTCTAAAAGTAATGTTAGTGAAGTGAGTTGCAGTTAGGTTATGAAAATTTGGTTGAAGAATTGTACTTTGGCCTGAGCTTTTGGTTTTCTGCTAGCTGCTTTTGTGGTTTTTTCACTGCTATTTGGAAAAACTGTGTCCCTTGAATGCAGTTGAGAAATTTGCATCATATAACTGATAACATTATGTGTGAAAAATTATATCCCTGTCTTTTAACTTCGTGGTTCTTTGTCATTAATAGTTACACAGAGGATGTCAGGAAAGACTAGACAATTCAGCATAGAGAACTGGCAACTTATTTTACATTCTCTTGTCTATTCCACATTCTGCTTTCTTGTTTGAAAGACTAAAATAAACTTTCAGTGTTCTCCACTCTTATTAACGTTGTCATGATAGCTGTAAGAGAGGGAGAAATTATCCTCTCTTGGAGATCCTGTAAAACAATTTCAGACTAACTTGTAAATTCAGACCATTGGCTGTGCAGAATCCAAATTGTCTTTCAGATTTATAGGCCTGGCAGTTGGAAACAAACAGCTTGTAAACTGAAATTCTGATTTGCAAAACATGGGAGTTGAAATAAATATGGAACCTAAAACTACATTGTTAGTTTTCAGGCTGTACTTGTCCTTCGACACTCACTTTTTCCTGTTTCTCACTTTTTCCTGTTTTGGGCAGTGTTCTCTTTTGCATTGCAGCAACATGTCTGCAGTGCCACAGAAGCATGAAGTATTTTAAAAACATTTTAGACACAAACTGTTACTCTGAGGATATTGGAAGCAACTCTTAACAATTCATTTGTTATGAAGGATTTATTGTGAAGAATTTGATTAAAACCCATAACGTTCAAGAACGTGTGAATATATATTAACAGATGTGTGTTATTTTTATTTTGGATCTTGTTCATCCTGGATATGTAAATGAAGGAAAGAAATTCCAGCAAGATTCTTTGGAACTTGTATCACAGATTTTTTTTTTTTTTTTTTCCCCTTTAATCTCCGATTTTTAATTGGAGCAAAGAACAAACAGCTGAAGAGATTTATCAAAGAAAATATGTAATTCTTTTAAATTAAGTTCTAAATTAAGCAATGATGTGCTAATCAGTTCTGTAGCAATAATAAGGATTTTCCAGCATTAAATGTTGAAGCCCAAGCTCCCAGGAGACCGAATGTTCTCTGTATGCAAGACAAGAGTTGACGGAAACTTTCAGCACAAAACGATTGGCATACATTGTATGGACCTAAATGTAGGATAACAGTGTCTCAAGAAGAGTCTTGAAGCTAGCTACAGATTTTTCAGTTAATTTAGATATTTTAAAACTCATGAGTTGCAGGTTTTTCTGGGAAAGGAGGTCCAGCTAGGCAGTAATTTCTTAAATAGTCTGTTATTTATTTAATGCCTATGGAACATGGCACCCACCATTATCAGATTTCACGTTTTGCTGTATTCTGTCATGGCCTATGTGGTAATGCCTGCTTTCAAAGGTCAGCCAAAGCATTGAAATTCTGTCCCTGCATCTTCTGTCTACTCTTCATCTACCACACAGCTGAATGGGTTTAGAAGCTCCATGGAGCTCCTTTCTACATTTTCAGTTCTCTAAGATTTGCTTCTATATTTTACTAAACTGTTCAGGAATTAAACATGCAGTGTTTTAGCAATCTAATTGTTTGACAATTCTAAATGCTAATATTTTACTTGTAAATATAGTTCCTGAACATGGAAATGCCTTTTTTTTTTTTTTTTTGAAGTGTGATTATTTGAAGCCAATTAATTTGCTGTGCTTTCTGGTTTGTTTGTTTTGGGTTTTCTTCTGCTGTGATAGTACACTTTTTTCCTTGGACTTGGTAGTAAAATGTTATACTGTCATTTAAATTACATAAGAACGACCATTTAGAAACTAGTTTATCCAGAAGAACATGAAAATTTGCTTGTCAGCAAATGTAATTACTTGGAATGGTAGTATAAATTTTTGCATTTCTTTTCTAGGCCTTTATCAGACGCTGTCTAGCATACCGAAAAGAAGATAGATTTGATGTCCACCAACTGGCAAACGATCCTTATCTTCTCCCTCATATGAGGAGATCAAATTCTTCAGGCAACTTGCATATGACTGGGCTAGCAGCATCCCCTACACCACCTACTTCAAACATTATTTCATACTGAAATTTCTCCAGCTAAGGAATGGCAGGATGCCTTTGTGTAGTTTCCAGATGCAGACTTGAGCTTGAAAGTATTTGAGTGTTTTTATACAGGACAAGTTTGATAACTGTGTTTTCAGACTGAAGTCCTCCTACTTAGGGTCCTTTGTATGATTGGAATAGATCATGGACTGTGAGTAAATGTACGCTTCTGAGAAATATCTTTAAACATTGAAGGATGACACTGCCTGTTACACATGAGCAGGTGTACTGTTTCAGACTGAAGAAAAGGTTTTTATTTTTTTTCTGGGGAACACTGTAAATAATCTTTTTAATACTTAACATTTGGTTGATACTGGAAAGTTCTAACGTGAAGGGTAGTTTTTCATTATTTAAATTAAAAAGAGGTAGTGAGCAAATTTGAAAACACAAGAAATATTCTGTGCCTGGCTACAAACTGAAAAAACTGCCATCTCTCCAAGATATTGATCTTTTGAAACCAGAGTAAGGAGTGTGAGACAGTCAAACATATGTTCTGTGTCAGATTCCTCAGAGAAAATTACAGACTTTTATTTGGCAGCTCAGGCTTGTACCTCGAAAAATGTGGTAGCATTTCAATTAATTTTGATTGGAAGGGTGGTACGGAATTCCTGGTACTTATTTCTCAGATAGGTTGCTAATTTTGAAATCTGCTCAATTTTCTAAAAGTACTACAATTGCTGTGGTATTGAAACTTGTGAAACTTTCCAGGCCTCTCATAAAAGCAAGCGACAGTATGAAACCAAATGCAAACAGGTCATGTATAATGTTCTATGCAGGAATAATGATAAATTCCCTTCTAGCTCTATTGTAAATGGTTGTACAGATGTCACACTTTCAGTTAAATTTCAGCAACTTCTGTACAAATGTTTAAAAGTATGGCTTTTTCTAATTAGATGTTGTATTTTTTTTAAGTCTCCCTCAAAGCGCTTTTAATTGCTGCTAAATGACATTGCTTTTACTTTTGCAAAAGAATCAAATGACCTCCTTAAGGTGCAAGTCAACTGTACATTATAGAGACAATAAGAGTGGGTAACTCATTAACAATCAAGGCAGGTAAAACAGATCTGTGTTGGCAATAGACAGTACAGTTCTCTAAGTCAGCTTATTGCGTTCTCAACCCGCGAGGCGCATTGATACTAGCTGTAGAAGATGCTCGTGGTTATTCTCTATTTCTGGAAGTTGCTATCAACAAGGAAATGTTTCTTGTGGCTTGTACAGATGTTATAAAATGTGAAACATTTTCTAACTGCCTTGTATGGTAGAAACTTATTTTTCAGAACAGTGTATCTCTCTCCCATTCACTATTTTTTTTTTTTTAAATATCCCATTTTTGATGCTGAATACCTATATGTAATTTTGTCCATGTTGCAGCAAAAGGAGGCTGTGTTACCACAGGTTTTCATTTAGTATTGTACAGTTAAACTGTTGCTCTTGTTTCTGACGTTGCAAGCCATTTTGTTTTCAATGTATATAAAGAAACATTAACTGTCTCTTTAAGATGCTGCTGAAATTGTAGAGAATGTAGCCAAAACAGTAATAAACAATGACAGTTGAAATTTCAAGGTTTTCATTGTGTGTTTTTGCATTACAATAAAGAGCAAATCAGCTAACTATATCACTGAGCTACACTTAACTAAAGCAAAAACTGTAATTACAAACAAAAGGCCAATAACAGAATAATTAAGTAGCATTGAAGGTGAAAGGGGGGCTTCCACAGAACTTAGAACATCTGTCACACTGAGGTAACCAAATCATCATTTCACTGCATAGACCTCACAGAAACAACTTCTAAGTATTTCAACAGGTCCTTCTAGAATCCTTTAACTGTGGAATAAAATTAGCTCATAGAGTAAGACTCAAATAGTGACTCTGCTTTATGTTACACCAAACTACTGGAAGTACATCCCTTTCACCATTTACAGCGCAAGACTGAGCACAGGGTGCAAGGAGGAGGTGCCCATAGCTTTAGGCTCTCATCAGATTTCATTCCTTCTTACTCTGCATGTGTGAATATCAGAAGTTAAATTGAAGAATGTTGTGCCTAGGGAAAAGATGTAGAACTGTATCTGGCATGTATTTTGGTTACTCCTAGTAAAGGGAAGCTTGGCAATATAGTAGAGAACTACTTAAGTAACTGGAAATTTTACAGCTACCTAAAAATAAAGGGGGGTTATGAATTGCATTAATTACGTACAGGCTTGCTTTTCCTGTTCTGAGCATCTTGGAATAGCTATTGTGGCTGAATACATGGCATTCACTCCAGCTTTACAAATACACGTTTCTGAAATGTAAACACTCATTTTAAACAGATTTCCTTATGGAAATAAAAGAAAGAAAAAGACAATCACAATCTCATCTTCTGAAACAAAAGTTGCAAGTGTTTTACCTCCGATAGTCACAGTTGTGTTTGAGTTAGTGTCTTAGAGTACTGTTGACAAGTTTTGTACCGCTGCAAGGAGTTAACTCTGCGGTCACAAGAAGACATCTGAGTTAATGTGTTTCAACAATTTTTGCCTGCCTGGAATTAGAAGTACCCTTGAGGCTCAGTCTAGAAGCCCAAATTGCTGCTTGTGGAGGAATGCTCATCTGCTCCTAGGTAGTTCATATATCAATTGTTCAGTATATTTCATGCACATTTTACTAATTTCATTAGGTGTCATCCATCACTAGATTTCCTAAGCTCTCTGGTGATGTAGCAGTGGGTAAAGAAAGGGAATGAAGGTAAACTTCATCAGGCAATTTTTTTTATGAAGCTTAGAAATAAAAGGTTTCCTTTACTTTAAATAGGTAAATCCAGCAAACACGGAAATTTTAATGTAAGATGATAAAGTATGACATTCTAAAAAATACATATGAAGCAGGTGTCTGCAAGAGAAGTTCTGCACTTTTAACTGTGGTTGTAGTGCTACAGATCATTGCAGCCAGAGTTAACAATGGTTGACTTGTTTCTGGAAAATAGCCATGTTTTGGTACTATTTTATTTTATTTATGTTTGCACTGAAGTTGTTCAGGTTTCAGCATAGAACATTATTCATCCTTAACTTGATCTACACTGCTTGATAGCTTTCATTTTCATGGAGGCTAGTTAATATTTTAATTTTATTAAAGTGCTTTTAGGGCTCATAAGACTGGAAGGGCATCGCATTGCTGGCCAGCTGCCCAAGTGCTATTGACCATGCATGCTGTGGCTGTGAGCAAACTGCTGCATAATTAGAGAGGCTTTCAAAAGCCCACAAAGCCGCACGCCCTCTTGGTATGCAAGTCATGGGTGCAGGAGGTACTGAGCTGCTGCCCAGGGGTGCTCTGCACCACTGGGACCCCACACAGGAGCTGCAGGCTGTCTGTGATGGCCTAAGCAAGCCCTGGGAATGAAAACGTGCTATGGGATTTGAAACATCCTGGGTGCTCGTGCTGAGCTTTGACATCTTCCCGAACATGAGGAAATCAGGTCTGAAGCAGGGCAACCAGCCTGTCCAGGCCTGTCTTCCCTATCCCACAGCTCTCCCAGCTTGGGATGACGTGGCACATCCAGTTTGGGAAGTGGATGCAGGTCCCCAGCAGTGCTGGTGTTCCAGGTCTGCTCCAGATTCCAACTCTGCTGGGGCTGATGCTGCTCCTGTCATGGCACAGAGGAGCCATGCGTGGGCAGGTGGTAGTAGCCGTCCCCCTCCTTGTCTGCTGCCATGTTTTCTACAGAGGGCTGGAACAGTGAGGGCCACTGCTAGGTGAAAGGGGCCCACCAGGAAGGGCAAGCAGTGTTTCTGGGACATTTATTTATTTTCAAAGAGCCCTGGAACATTGCACTGGGAAAGGGACTGGGGAGCCCAGCCTGGTGGGGGGCATCTGGCAAGAGTGCCAAGGATGTGGAGGCAGAGTGGTTACGAGAGTCTCCCCATTTCGGTGTCAAAAACATTAGGCCTCACAATTGCTGCTGTTTTTAGTTTTTGTTTTGGTTTGTTTGGTTGGTTTTTTTTCCTACGTATCAACTGCCATCAGAGGAAGGACCCTATTTCACAGGTGAGGTGTGTATGTCTGCATGGACAATGTTTCACTGTCATGGTCTCACAATGTGCCCACCAGTCCACCATGTTTGTCTGCTGCCATCTCAGCAGGGCACTGTTGTTTTCACAGCCCCAGTGTGATGCTGCTACCAGGATCAGGTATTTATGCTATCAGGGCATAAATACCTCTGTGAGGCCTACCTGGCTCCAGGCAGCTGTGGATTGTAGAGTTGAGGACGGTCTTGTGTTTGTAGCAAATGTAAGACTGCAAACGTTTTCATAGAAATAGTTGAGTAATCCAGCAATTTCATGTCTCTGTGACCACAGCCTGATTAAATGAGTCTAACAAGGTAGGTAGAGCTCCCCATGAGTCACTGACTTTGGGGCCTGGCAGTACATACCTGCCACCTGAGGCAAATGTGTTTACAGCTGGCCTTTCTACAAACGAAACAGGTCTAACTTGGTCCTCAATATTTATTAGGCAAGGGTCCCTGAAAAACTCTCCAGTCTCTTACAGTACCCAAGTTTTGCTCAAGTTTACTGACAAATCTGTCCACGTTATTCTTGAAGATGCCCTATTAGTGGCGGCTGCATTACATATCCAGGCTAGGCACTTCAGTATTTCCTATCATCTTGTCTTTCTTTCTAGTTATTAATGCCATTATTTCCAGTCCTATGCACCATGGCATGAAGGACAGTTCTCTGCCATGTTTAATACATGAGCCCTGATTTCCTTGCAGCCTCCATGTATTTCATTTTGAACTTCATGCATGCTTCTTTAGTAGCCTTTGGAGTTAAGGTTGTTTTCCTCTGAACAAGTGAGAATCTCTTATGTAAATAAAATATAACAAGTGAGAATATTTATTATATTCAACTTCTAACAAACTGTCAGGGAAACGCTTGCTGTTGAAGTTATGTTCTTGCTGTTGAGGCTGCCCTGTTGCCTGGCTGTGCTCCCTCTAGAGCCCGTGGAGGAAGGGGGGCAGGCTTACCCTCGCAGTGGAGCTTTGGTGCACTGGCTTTCCCTCAAGAAGAGCACCTCTCTGTGGGGACAATCGTCTGGCTACTCTTCCAGTAGTCTCCAATGCCAGAGATTTTTTCTCCTTCCTTCCACAGTTGCATAAATAACTTCCTTCTCCAGACATGATCCAACAGTGTGCTGCATCCATCTGAAATGACAGTGGGAACTTCAGAAACAATGCAATAAAACAACTGGAATTTGTTTGTCATAAACTCCAAACTCATGTTCCCACTAAACAACTCGTTGTATCCAGCACTGTGCTTTTACAAGTGCTGGTGATGTTTTGGAAATCTTTGTCTTCTTAGATGGTGCTTCCTAACACTCTATCATCTGTCCAGGATTGTAAGGGAAATTCTCTCCTCTGAACTGCCCCATTTCCTCTTTCCAGCCTTGGCCAGTGTAGAAATGCTTATTTACACTCTACCTT